AATTCAGATTACAAATTTCTGTGTCAACTTTTGACCTTTTGCCATGTCCCTTTCTTGGTCACTTGAGAGCTGAGGAAACAATTTATAAGTGTAATATACTGAAAAATACTGATGCAACAGCTTAAGCATGCAGATGGTCCTTCTGATGGTAGTTGTCCTTAAGGTAGACTCATATTTAGCACCATAACATTTTCATTGAATGTACATCAGTTTAAATGTTTTCTTTCAATACTGCATTTTCTTTTCTTTTTTTTTCTTTTCTTTTTTTTACAGTTACAACACTGTGAATACACTGTTAAGTGACAAGATCAAACTAAGAAGCCTTCATTTCTTTCCTTGTTCTAAGTTTCAAACACTTTCAAATACAACACTAATATTCCTTTACTGTTGAGATTGAGAAGGACTGGTGTCCCTCTACGTAGAGAGGTGGCTGCCTCAGAGCCAAAGTGGCACATCTTAAAATGGATTCAACTGAGAATGTGGAATCCAGTTATTAGCCAGGTAAGGCCATTGTCTTTGAGTTCCTGTATCTTGGAACTATAGTTGAATCTAAAACCTAAACAGACTGCGAAGAACATGTATATTGCATACAGAAAAAGTTATAGCTTTAAAACTAAGGGCTTAGGTACCTTTCAGAAAACAAAGCTTATCCCTCAGTTAAGTACCAGATGGTTTAAGTGGTGTAAGCAACGTTGGTGTTTGTTTTGTAGAAAACATGGTTTGATTAGGCTCGAGTTGGAATTTTTGCTGTTTACTTAAAGCAGGCCTGATGTTGGACCATTTCTCTCTGGTTATGAGACAGCAGTGGCAGACTTGCTGGGTCTGGAATATTTTGTAATATGGTGACATGACGGCCATAGGTTTTTGTGAATAAAAGTGCTGTTCTAAGTTTGAATTAGATTTTAATTTATTAGGCTAAATATTCAAGCATGTCTATTGGTTTGTAATTCTCAATTGTTTGTGCTAGGACTCACCAGTGATATCCTTGGAGAATGGCTTTAAATTTAAGCAATAGATACATTAGGGGTTATATGCTGATGAGAGTCCTGATCAATGTGTCTCTCCTAGTAAGCATTTTCTAGATTTATTGGAGGTCTTATAATGAGTACCTGAAACATACATGGGTTCTGAGTCCTTGAACCACACTGCCGAAGCCGTGCTGTCAGACTCGTCAGTTTTGTGCCTTGCTCACTTGGGTACACCCTCCAGGTTAATTACGGAAGCTTGCTTTTTGTAGACCTCATCAGAAAAGAGCAGGTAAAATTGAAGTGGCTCTTGTAGTTATTTATTATCTGAACCTTCTGACAAATGTAAGATCATAGGTTAGAGGGGTGTGGTGTTTTTTTTGTTTTTTTTGCTTTTTTGTTTCAATCCTCAGATGAAATAGTTACATGAAGAAAATGGCTTAACAAGTTTCTGTGCCTTTATAATTTCTACTTAATATAACACAAGTGCGCACTAAAAATATGATTAGAAATATGTAAATTATGGAAAGTTTCTTGAACAAATACCTGTCAGGTGTTTATTTTGATATTATTTTGTTTTCAGTTAGCTGTTTTAGAGCAGTCAGTGAGTGAGAACAAACATGGTAGAGTTAAGTTTGTACTCTGTTTAATCATCCAAAAATGTGGAAGTTGTCTGGATTCAAGTACTCAGTCTGTCTAAAATCAAAACAATATTGGATTTGTTGTTTGCAGTGGCAGTAATACTTGCACTAAGCAGAGATTTAGAGAGTGGCTCGAAAATCCAGAGGTTAGATAGCCAATAACTGTATTTACTGGAGTGTTATACAACTGTAGAAAAAAAATATGGACACTGAAATGATAAAACAAAGTCTTTTCTGTTGTTTTAGTTGTTTTTATGTAAATTGCTTTACTGTCTTGTGTGAATGTTTCACTTTGATAGTTTTTTTCTTTTATATTTTGCACATAGAAGCTTAAGACTTTTTTTTTGCGTTGATGAATTATATCTACTTTTTTTTTCTTTTTTTTTTCATCTGAAAGTTGAATCTGAAACTAGACTCAAAGACAGTACTGTTTATAAATGTCACTTGTAAAAACTAAGAAAAAGGAAACACCCATGCCATTAATGTTGCCTACAATCTATTAGCCCACACGAAATGTGAAGTCTTAATTTGTGGTTTTGGTTTTGATTTTCTCCATGTAAGTAAATATCACATTGTCACAGAGTTTCTAATTCCAAAGTTTAATCTCTAGTTTTTTGCTCTGACATCCAAGAAAAATGGACAATGCTGGATGTTACTGGTGTTATCTGATGATCATTATCTGTAACTGCAGTGCTTGTATATCGGTCATTTAATTTTGGGCATTTTAATCACATAGGACCAGTGTCGATGCAAAATCACGAATTTGGTGCAGTTAATATTCTCAACAATTCAGTCTTACATAAGACTGGAAATGCTTTAATAGCTTAATTACTGGTTATTCATTGCAGTGTTAGTTTGTAGATTTTTCACTATTTGCTCTTCTATTAAACAACAACCTATAGCTTGTGGTAAAGTAAAAGTTACTTAACTTTTGAATGTACCCATAAACATGAATCCTCATAGCAAAAAAAATAGAATTTTTAAAATCATAAATATTTAAACTATCCTTCTTGAATGTCAACAAGTGTTGAATTTCACTTTGTTGATGTTCAGAGTTTTGCAGTATCATGATTTATACACTGTACTAAAGTGCAATTACAGACCAAACCAAGTTGTGAGCATCCATCAGTTGGCAAACACCTTGTAAATTATAATCATTTTATTTAAAAAATATATGTTTTGAGGGGACAATGTTTTTTTTTTCTTCAGTTTGGCACATCTTATCCACTATACAGATATGAAATTGTACATATTACAATACAAAAGGAAAATGGGAAGAGAAAAGCATTCATTTTGCACAAAGAGGTTGGGTTAGAGGGGATTGGTGCTGCTTTTTTTTTTTTTTTTTTTTTTTTTTTTTTCCCTATTTTCCATTTTTCTTTTTTTCTTTTTTTAAGGCAGGGTGGGAACAAGGGCTAGAGGATGACAAGAGGAAACAAAAACAGATTACAAAGAGCCAAAGTGCAAAGGGATGCATATTTCTACAAATTTGTGGATTTTCAGTCACTTGGTACAACTGTAGTATTAAACAGTGAAATGTCTAATGATGGACAGAACTTTATAGGAATTCCATATACATCCCCATACTTGGTGTTATCAAAAACAAAGTCTCCCCATAAAGTTTGCTGAATGAGATTAGGAAATATTCAACTGAATTTTGACTCTTGAACATGCAAGACAGATTAGAAGGGCAATAGTTAAAGCAGTGCTAAGCTGGAAACAACTTAAATTAGAAAATGGAGGTGCTTGACTGATCAGTGTATGCAATGCTTTCATTCAATTCAGACATGAAGTGTAACAATTTTTGGTTTACAAAAGCACTTTCTTGTTTTAGGCATCCTATGAGCATGTGCTGAGACATGTTGACACGCAAGCATTCATTTGAGTGTGAAGCCAAATTTTGACAAGCTCAATATAAAGACAAAGCCACAAATGGTACCTCCTCCTTACCTATAGGGGGCATCAGCCAATGAACTTCACCCTAATTGTTGAAAACCAGACATCTCACTTAAAAGTGCTGCATCTTGTCATCACTAATTGCAGACTTTAGTAAACACGAGTTAAAATACTAGTCCTAGGAATTGATAAGAATATCGTAAAATCGCTGAGTACTTGAATTTTACAGTGTTCAAACATTGGACTGCTCAACACTTGATTAGCTGTGAAGTTGCTGCTACTCTGGTCAGTGTACATTTCATGCCTAAGGTGCTGTCATTCTGTCATTCCATTCTCTACTACTTTTACTTGCCCAAAAGGATGCTCGGAATTGTTAAGAAAAAGACATAACCCCATTGTTAAACTCTGTCTTCATCGTCCTATCTATTCCTCTCAGCCCCACTCTTTCACCCTACCCCCACTACTAAATTGAACACAAAGAAGTGCGAAGCTACTGCAGCAGCTTTAGTCTGATGCTAATGCACATCCTCCCCCTGCTGCATACAAATGTGTCCTGACCCAGGCTTGCTGTTTGCTTATCACTGGATCTCCATTTGCTCTCAGGGTATTGACCGCAGTTTAACTTGACACGTTCGAGTGCTAACCTAGGACCTGAAATGCATTTTTCGCTAACAAGAACAAAACCTTAAAAAAATATATTCGCACATGATTTTTGGTCACAAGGATTACTATACTGTATTATTTTTCAGTGGTAGCATGACTAAATGTTTCTAGATCACTGGTGTGGGTGATAGAATATTAAGTTCATTTTGCCTTGCTTTAATTGGTTCAATCTTGAGCCTGTCAGGACTTATTAGTGTGTAAGCAGTAAAGAGCACAGGCTACTGGGGTTTTGTATTCAGAATAAAATGCGCTCCTGTCTGGCATTTGAGCTGTTTGTTACAGTTTGTCACTTGCTACCCTCACTCTAGCTTGTCTGTATATTGATCCTGGTATAATATAGCTCATCAGTTAATTGTAATCAACACCTAAAGCTGTTGGAAATATTATGGTCACAGTTTGTATGGCAGTTGAAAATGGAGAATCCATGTACAGATCATTGTAGATCATTTTCCATGTCTAGGGTGAGGCTGACATCCATGAGTTTTTTTTTTTCTAAGCAGTGTAGTGTGTTGGAAGTTAATCACAGTTGTTCAGTCTGTCCCACAGATTGAGAATTTATTTGTGGTGTTGAGCCCTCGTGGGTGGGAGCTAAAACATCCATTAACTTGAGTCAGCTGCAAAACAGCTTTTCATTTACGGGGGTAACGTCTGATTAAAGAGGTAATTTTTCCAATTTATATAATTGAACATAAATTCTCCATTCTCAGTCCACACTTTCAGTTGCATTTCCACACAGAAATGTTTCTTTGGAGGAAATCCAAATGTATTTATTTATTTTTTTTAGAAATAAAACAATCTCATTCTTACTAAATACAGCCTCTCTTCTTCTTCTTCTTCTTCTTCTTTTTGTTTTCTGTTATTTGAATTTGGCAACCCAAATGTATTCTTGGTGGGAAACCGTGGAACCATGTCAGATTTGATAAACGTAATGTCATAAGTGATTACTCAATAGAATTTCAGGATTCTTCTATCCGTAACAGATGATTTCTTTATTCATAACATAACAATAATGACATTTACTTTACAGTTATAATTCATAATTTGAGTTTGGTCTTAGTGCCCTTTAATGTATTATAGTTCTCTCAAAACAAAGCTACAAAACAAAATGTTCTGATAATTGGTTCTGTTCATTTGCCCCAGTGATTGAATGTTTGGCTTGGACTGCCTATGGTGTAGTTAGAAACAGCATTTCAAATATTTACTTTTTAAAAGAAAATACATAAATCACATCTTCCCTTAATGTATTCTGTTAGCAGAGGGCCACTTGGCAAAGTAGTTTCTCTGTGCTGCAGAATATAGAGACAGTGGTGGAGACAGATCTCACAGTTTACAATTTTCTTCTTTAAAATGATTGCCCCTGCCTGATATGAACAACCTTGCATTCATATAAAAATAAATTTGTGACTATCTCTACAACGTCCTGTAACTGCCCAACCTCTGCCATTGTAGCATTCTCACATATTCTCAAATCTCACTTGTAGAAATTATGCTTTTTACATAAACTGGGAAAAAAAAATCAAACCCTGTATCATCTGAAATGGTCAAATGACAAACCATATGCTCTAGGAATAAATAAGAGTTCATACTTCACACTCTTTGTAAGGCAGCTGCTGACACTTGCACTGCCCGTAGCCGTTGATGATTACGAGTGCCCCTTCTTCATGGCTGGGCTCATACTCATTATAGGGTACCTGCGTAGCTAGGTCTGCCATAGGCTGTCGTTGCTGGGTCCTCATCTGTCTGCGGTTCTGAATAGCCGAACAGTGGCGTATCCGGCGCAGGGTAGGAGGGCAGCACTTCCGTGAGATATAGACAACAAAAATGATGAAAAAGAATGAAAAAAGAAGGGCCATAGTTCCCATGATAACCCTTTGAGTCATAACAGTGTTGTCTGCAGTTGCGAAGTCATCTGTTACAGCTGCCTCTTCCAATGGAGCAGTAGTAGCTTGAGCAGTGCGTGATGTTTGTGTTATGATTGTTGTGGTAGTGACTGTGGTAAAGCTCCCAAAATCCTCTGCATAGTCCGGTGTGGGGGTCGGCTGCATAATTCCAAACAAGGAGCTTGTGATCTCTGCAGCTGTAGTAGCGTCTGTTGTTGTACTAATGGTCTGAACGACTGGTACTGAAAAATTCTGACAAAGTTGGAATCCATAAACGGCATCTAGTATCTCCTCACCTTGGGCATATTCAGGACTGTGGCAGAGGATAGAATGCTCCCACCTTCCCTTAAAGGTGCTTAGCCAAGTGGCAAGAGAGCAAATCCTTTTGGTACATTCCCAAAGGTTGCTGGACAGCCCAATCGTACCCAAAGACTGCCACATATCCAAGACTTGGGGATCCAGGCTGCTCAGTTTGTTGTTATCCAGCAGCAAAACTTTTAAATTTGGCAGCGTTTGAAACACATCAGGGGTCAGGACACGAATTTCATTTCCTGTGAGGTCCAGCTTCTCCAGCGTGGTCCAGATCCATTCCATGCCACATGTTACGTTGCTGATCTTATTCCATTGCAGGTATAGAAATTGAAGGGCAACAAGGCGAGGGAAATGGGCCAAGTTTATCTTGGTCAGTTGATTGTGCTCCAAGTGGAGCTCTTTAAGCTTGATGAGCCCAGCAAATCCATTTCGTGCCAGGCTTCGGAGACGGTTGCTGCTTAGGCCCAGATATTCCAGGCTACGGCAGTCCCAAAATGCCCGAACAGGTGTGGTGCGAAGTAAATTAGAGCGGAGGTGGAGTATCTGGAGCTTCCTCAGTCCGTGAAACAGTTCTGGCTCCAAAGCAGTCATCTGATTGAAGGACAGGTCCAGTATCTGAAGATTGATGAGGTGGATGAAGGTTGTGTTGGGCAACTTGGTGATACGATTGGAGCTCAAATTGAGGTCCTTCAGTTTATAGAGCCCTTGAAAGGCATCCTCTTGTACTGTGGTAATCTGGTTGTGGTCTAGATGTAGCCAAGTGAGCTGGCTGAAACCATAGAATTGATCAGGACTGAGCTCAGTGATACTATTGTGTCGTAATGACAGCCCCAGGGCTCCCTTGTCCACACCATCTGGGGGTGCCTTAAGCCCCTGGGTGTCGCAGTAAAACTGCAGGTCCTCACAGCGGCATTTTTGAGGGCAGGTTGTGCACAACGCAGGAGACAGCAGGCACGCTAGGAGCATGCTGATCACAGACAGAGCCGCTGGTGCAGGTCCCACCAATGGCCACCTTGAATGGAAACCTGGGTGGGTTCAAAGACAAGAAAATGAACTGTGGGGCGGGAAAGCTAATCTCTGCAGAGTACTTATTACTAATTCATGCTGGCAGTTATGCTCTTTTGTGTACGCTCTGTCTTGTCCTTACATATAGCTGCTAAGGTATTTTACATTGGCAACTTTAACAGTGTATGTAAACATGATACCCTTGAGATTCGGTTTAATGGAGATGTCATTTTCTCAGCAAGGCTTCTAATGATCAGCTGCATACATAAGGCAGACCTTTTTTTTTTTTTTTTTTTTTTTTTTTTTTTTTTTTTTTTT